ACACAAATAGTAGCAGCAAAAAGAAAGAAAGTTGCACATGGGCAATAGATTGCACAGTGAATATGACATATAATATAATATTATTATAAATATATAATAAAGCAACCTTGCAGTAAATTCTAGTTTCCTGATGGTTAAAATGTTCAGTTATTGTTGAAACTGAGTTAGAAAGCTGTTTATTCACCTTATGGTAATATTTTTGGCCTCATGCTGACAGGTGTTTCCATTAATTTGTCCATCCCATTTGAATTATCAATGGACAGTATACCCAAATATTAGTTGACTCAAGGCCTACATACGACTACATATATAGTCGCTGTAGGGATGCACCAATCCGGTTTGCTGGATCAGTATCGGTTCTCGAGTTGGACTTATTCACAATAAATACATTTTCTCTCCCAGTGTCATTATAAGAGTCATTCCTTTCACTAAAGGTTACACTCATTCTTTCATAGCGGGCTGCTGACTCAGTCTTTAACACCCCAGTAATTCCTGGCCTCATGGTACCTCACATCAAAACAATTGCAAGTATACAAACGTTACATTTGTGGGAAAGAGAGCGCTGGTATCAGATCGATCCTCTGTATTGTCTAACACCCAATCTAAAGCTATCGGGATTGCATTGGGAGGGGAAAGTTGGATCGGTGTATCCCTAGTTGTAGGAAATCCTTAACCTCACTGCTAATGATAAATCACCTCTGGGTATGTTTGTTTGCTACAGATACCTGAGATGCATGTGTATGCCTGTAGGAAAGTAGTTTGATACCTGAGCTCCATTGTTGTTTGGGTCCTGATTCCCACTCAGCCTGTTGAGTGTGATGAAATTTAACTCAGCACAAACCTGAGCCGCTCAGGCCTGTGTGTTGTGTAGAGGTGGGTGATTTGTATAAAACACTCTTTTATATTACAGTAATGATATATATCATGATCAGGGGCATTTTTTGGAAGAACAGTTGAGAATCTGATCATGGAGAATGTCTGGTTTTGGTAAATTATAAATACATATATAAATCCAATTTGACCATTAAACAGTTTTGCTTATTGATGTGCTACATTGCCTCCAATGGGCTAATACACCCGGATATGTTAAAGTGTTCATCATAAAATCTACTTTAATGATGCCTACAGTTTTTTCTTACACTTCTGTATAATTGTTTATTAAATTATACATTTTAGCATTGAGGTAATAGTTGTTGGTTTACTGGACTTCGTTATATTCACAGGTTTGCCTAACCTCCTCGTGGATGTAAATAGGAAGGACAAAAAAATAGAAGCATCTCTCAGTATATTGCAGTACAACATCACCTCTAACTATTACCTTAATAATAAACATCTAGTTGAAATTATACATTTCCAACAATGTCACAAAAAACTTTTAAATTACATTCTTCATAAAGTAGAAAGAGCTGTTGAATTAGATTGTACAGGTGTACCTGATAAACTGGCCACTGAGCATTTGTTGTTAAAATCGTAAACCCCTATGTTGATGTATAACTCGATACCAATGAAGCCTACTGGATAAACATTACTCTGTGTGTGTGTGTGTGTGTGTGTTTCCAGGGAGACGTCTCCTCATGCCTTCCAGTTGGAGCTGTTCTTCAATAATGTCACTAAACCCAACAATCCCACGTTCCACAGACTGGGCAGGTAAGAATGATTTTCACCCCCCCCCCTCTTTCATCTTGTTTCTGTATTAAGTGCTTAAGATGCTCATGTCTGTCTCACCTGTCAAACCAGTCACAGTAGCACCTGAGTCCTGTTCTCAGAGGCCTGAGGGTTGTGTGTGTTCAACCACCCATACTCAGGTCTCTTTGTTCCTGTGCTGGCTAACTGGTCTCTCCAGAAACTCAACCCCACCCACTCAGTAGCTGAAAGTGACGCAAAAACTTAGAGGACCCAGTGAAATAGACGAGTAGAGGAATGTTTGAGTCAAATGTTTTTTATTCAAACCTCATAATAACAGAGGTGTTCACAGTAGCACCCGAGCATAAGCTTGCATTTAGAGGTGTGCATTGTGTAAGAGTTGTTGAAAACTGTAAATACGACACACCCAAGTTATTATCTCTGCCAGGAAAGTTGGGAGTAGATTTTTTAACCTGTCTGGTTGCTTTTAAAATATCTTCCAAATGTCAAAAACAAATTTGACTGATATGTTTTTAGACAAATGACTCTTGGCCCGAGAATCCAGATAGCAATTATAAGGCAGTATTGGTTTTGTTTTACAACATAACCTGTCTTGTTTGTCTTGTTTTTTTGTGTCAAAAAAACAAGACAAAACTGTGTAGCATATATTTTCTGCCTTATTACAGGGTATCTGCAGATCTTGGAAAGGGTCTTAGAAGATGTTAAAAAGGCTTGGATTTAATTAACTAAAAGCCTTGTCTGATGTAGGCAGTAATGTATAAAACGTTAATTGATTTTATTACAGGCTGTCTGGAGGTGTATATAAACTAAAAGTGATTGTTTTAGACGGTAGATTGTGCTCACAGAAGTCCTGTATCAAACTCTTTCACTACTGCTAGCTTTTAAATGGTTAATCCATCTATCAATTTCTATGGCATTAATTAGTTATATCAGTGGACAGTACTGAAAAAAAAAAAAGAAAAGAGAAAAAAGATTTAATAATAATGAATAATTCTAGGCCGTATCGTCCCTGCTGGTCTTTTCTTTATACTTAGTCTTTGGCCGGTCTGATCGTATAACAGGTATTTATTTGCATTTTATCTGGTTTTAAAGCGGCTTTAAAAAGTTCTACATGAGGTTATGCCCTTTATCAGACAGTGGACAGTAGAGAGCTGACAGGAACTGAGGAAGAAATAATTACACAGTAATTACGTGCTGTTTGGAAAAAAATTGATCTGGTACTTCACAGATTCGTGCTAAACTACATTGCAGTCACATGCTATTTTTTAAAAATAAAATCTCTAAGACTAATGATAAACAAATATATTCAAATTGGTGTATAGTTGCACTGATGTTTTACTTTCCCTTGTCTTGCTTTCTGCCCTCAGCCTCGAATATGATGAGAACAAGTCCATCGTGTTCAGACCCAGTGGAAAGGTAAATGGCAGTCCACAAACAAGATGATTTGTATTTAATTTTTTATTTATTCTGTCTATTTGTGAATAACTGAATGGGTTTGTGTGTGCAGGTGAACACAGACGGCCTGGTGCTGCGTGGCTGGTACACCAGTCTGACTGTAGCAGTTTATGGGACAGCAGAGCGCTCACATGGACATGACCAAGGCTCACCCCCGCCTCCTCCACCCCCACCCCCTCAACAGCCCAGTGGGGCCAAGAGGATTGTTAAACAAGGTGGGCATCATTAAACCAAAACTACCCACACTCTGGCCTTCACCCCCACTTCCTTAAACTGAAACATCCGATGAGCAGGTTACCCCTGATTTACTTGTTAAACTGTCACTTGTTTGTTTGTTTGTTTTAGAGTGGGAAAAAGATGACCAGTACAATGGCAGCCCACCAAGACCGGCACCCAGAGGACCTCGTACTCCGCCTGGGCCTCCACCACCCGATGATGATGATGAGGAGCAGGTCCCAGTGACAGGTCAGTACTCTGACATGTGTTCTGTGCACATTACATTATATCACGTTATGTCAGCCGCTGTTAGATCTTTATTTATCAGCAAAAATAGAGATGCGGCTGTAATTTAAGGTCGGGAAAACATTTTTAAAAAATTTGTTTGTGTCATAAACAGGATAAATCATGTAAAAACACCAGTTTGACCCTAAAGCTGGTTTGTATAAGTTTGCCTTTATGTTTAGATAAATATATAGTTTACATGTTTGTATGTTCCCCATGGGGTATGTTGACTGAACTGTGTGCCCTCTGGTCCCTGTTGTGGTGGCTGCAGTGGGCGTGGTCAAAGAAGAGCCATGCCAGGGCCGTGACGACTACCTGGAGGCTGTTTCACCTGAAAGATCGCTGCCTGCTGATGAAACGTACTCAGATGCTGAACAAGATGAAGAAGGTGATGAGGAGGAAGAGGAGGAGCAGGAGGAGGAGGAAGATGCACGGACTGAGGGTAGTGC